TATATTTTGACAAAGTTTGAATAAAATTAATTAAATAATTAGCTTAATATAATTTTTTTTGTACATACTAAATTTAGAATCTTTGGCCTACGGATACCCATTAAGAATTAAAATAAAAAAATTAATAAAACTTTTATATTAAAGTTCACTACAACTATATTATCTGATTTTATGTTTAAGTTCGTTCATTGATCGAATTAAATTTGGTGATTTAATGTAATAATCGTTGTGTTCATTGTGTTTGTGTTATAAAAAAACTAATAAATAGCTTAAAATCAAAAAAAAAATAGAATACGATGCGAATAGTGATGGCCACCTAGCCAAAGCCTAGCAAAATAATCAAAAACTATTGAAAAGCAATATTCAAAAGTTTAAATACTCTTTAAAAAACGTGAACGATCTTAGAGCTATTTTAAAGAAGAGTGATGAACCCTGATATATTTTTTGGGGGAGGTGGTTATAGGCTCAATGCCTCAAAGAATTGCGTTAATATTGAATGTTTACGTGCATTTAGCAGTGTATTAATCAATTATAAAAAAAAAAATATTTATATATATAGTGCAAAAATAGAATAAATCATAAACCTTCATTTTATTGAAAAATCAGGTGTTACTTTTGCTGCTTACTGTACGTAAGTTCGAGATATTGTTTAAATAATTAGCTCTAGAATTTATACACTAGCATGTGTACTTCTGCATGCTGCAATATAAGTTTTGTTTTTTGACGATATGATATAAGGTCCCGATTTCAGTTCTCATAAGGTTTTCGAAGGTCCTGAATATTTTTACTTAAGTACATACATACATTATGAATTCACAAATTGTTCCTTTAAAAGTTCACAAATTGTTTGTGATAACAATTTTATAGAACTTGATAGTTATCTTAAAGAAGCAGCAAATAATCTTAAAATTGCTTGTTCCTTCACAGTTGTTATGTTGATGAATTTTCTTCTATTCACAATTTTACCACCTTTCTCAAAGGAATTACAAATAATGCAAAGGTTTATAGCAAGAAAATTCTACCACTTTCAATCTTAGTCATTCAAAGTATTCAAGATTTTACTGAAAACTATGTTCTTATAGATTTTGATGAATTTAAAAATAAAATTAATGGAATTGCTAATAAAGCCAACAAATCCTATGAAGAGACCCGTTGTATAGAGAAACTTTACAATGCAATTCTTGAAAGCTTCAAAACTAAACAAGATAATGTATCTCGGGTCTTAGATAAATTTAAAAAAGAAGAGCAATATTACAATAAACAGGCAGCTCAATTCCAAAAATCAGCAAAAACTAAATATTCTTGGGCACTTGCTTGGCTTTAATTCCAGGCATAAACTTGTATGCATGCCCATTCTTAATATATCATTTGAAGAAAGATGCTAATCGTGCGATTAAAAAGGATAAAGAATCAAAATTGGCTGCTGCTGCTGCATGTCTCATTCGAGATGTTCTTAAAACTTCAATTGAAAATTTTGTAACTGCTTTAACAAAAATTGAAAGCTTTTTTGCCATCCTTAAATGTGAACTATCCTATCTTGCTCATAACCCTGATGAATCTGAAATTAAAAAGCACTATGATAAATGTAATAAGGGGATAAAAACTATTATTGGGGAATGTAAATATTTTATCGGCATGATTCTTGATTGTCAAGCTAACCTTGAGGTGATCCCTGACAAAGTTAATGAAAATTATGTTGAGCAATGGGTCTTAAAGAAAACTAGTCAAGATAGACAAACAATATCTTTATTGGAATCGGTGGAAAAAAATTTGCTAAGAATAGTCGACCTCGAATTTGTCACAGTGGAAGGTTTCAGAAATAAAACACAGAAACCTTGTTTTAATAAAAATACAGTAGTTTATATATTATTTTCAAATAAGTGAGCACTTTCATATTATCCTCCAATTTCAACGTTTTGAAGTACAAATAAGTTTTTTAATATTACTATTATTTCTAAAATATATCTTTTTTTAAATTCCAAAACCCCTCAATATATGAACAATTAACTTCAAAACAACATTCTCAAAATACTATATAAGAACTCACATTTTAATCTATGCATCATTATTGTTGTTGTCTAAATATTAGGAGTATGTAGAAGCGAATAGTAAATGGGATTCTTCTAAAAGGATCTAACAAAGGTTGTGCATTGGTCAAAAGTAGATTTGTTGTCAGTTTAAACAACCATTATATTCTACTACCTATTATCACCAATTGGCTTTCTATTACACGATTGGCTAACTAAACAATGTTAAAAATCAATTCTAAACTGCTTTATCAATAGGAGAAAATAGAGTTTCGCGCTGGAACCCTAATTTCAACTTTCGACAAAAAAATTCTAAATGGAAAAACTTGCAAAACTAGAAATTAGCAAAACTAGAAATTGGCAAAACTAGAATTGGCAAAA